GCTACTCTCTGGAAAGCATCCCACAAGAAGGCTGTGTAAAGCTCTCAGCACTAAAAATACTCCCCAGCCCAAACCTACCCTCTAAGCCAGCTGTCTACTTGACACATCCTCTTAGTATCCAAGAGGCATATCTGACTTAATATGAGCAAAGCAGGGATTGAATTTTCACACAGCCCCCATTGAGGCCCAGAGGATACCTCAAAGTCTGTTACTTTGGCATGCAGAGCACTTCTGAGTTAAAGGAAATGAAAGGCCTTAGAAAGTGCTTCAGAACCAAGGATTTTCTAATCTTCTCTTGTTTCTGCCCTCTTGAGTGCAGGGAGGGGCTCTGTTCTCAGGCTGCTGTGAAGAAATATCTGAGACTGGGTAATTCAGAAAGGAAGAGGTTTAACTGACTTACAGTTCCACATGGCTGGGGAGGCCTCAGGAAACTTGCAATCAAGGCAGAAGGCACCTCTCCATAGGGTGGCAGGAGAATGAGTGCCCAGCGAAGGCAGAAGTCCCTTATAAAAACCATCAAATCTCATGAGAACTAACTATCAGGAGAACAGGATGCGGGAAACCAACCCCATGATTCAATTATGTCCACCTGGTCCCACCCACAACACGTGGTGATTATGGGAACTATAATTCAAGATGAGATTTGAGTGGGGACACAGCCTAACCATATCAGGCTCTCTCTGGAAGTTCCCTTATCTGACCGAGGAAAATTTCTTCCAAAAGAAATGCAATTGTCTTAATTTCTGTGAATATGCAAAGTGATTCCCAAATGCTGAGGAAGCCAAGGAACCAAAGAAGGAGGCAGACAGATCCAGTTTGTTGACTTTGGGTGATTTATTGAAGGAACTTATAGACATAAGTGTGGTCTTAGGTGTTGGCAGTACAGGTAGATCTCTGCAGTGTTACTCCCCACACCAGGGCTATGCATATACTATAGGGAAAGTGTATGCTTGCTCCAGCAAGCCAATTAAAGGCAACCCTTCAGGACAGGCAAGAATGCTGTATGCATCATAGCCTAAAATTTGTGTGATAACATCAAGGTCAACATGTTCTTACACTAGGAACAGTAAAGCAGGAATCAGGAGGCATTCATGGGACTGGGGTTAATCAGAAGTCAACATGGTGGATTAGCATCCAAAATAACCAGAAAAAATTAACCACCACAGAAGAGACTAAAAGTTGTCACCATGCTCATGCTTTTCATCTATTTTGCCAAGGGCAATTCTGAGAGATTACCTAAAAGACTTAATCTGCATAATAAGACTACCTTTGTTTGCAGTTCAGTTCTGCCCCTCACCTTCCCATAACTTGTCCCATTCAGTTTCTAAAGAAAATAATTTACAAACTATTGTCTGCTTTTTTTTTTTTCTTTCTAACTTTCATTTTAGTTCCAGGAGTACATGTGGAGGTTTGTTACATGGGTAAATTGCATGTCACAGGCGTTTGGTGTACAGATTATTTTATCACTCAGGTAATAAGCATAGTACCTGATAGTTGTTTAATCTTCACCCTCCTCCCACCCTCCACCTCCATGTAGGCCCCAGTGTCTGTTGGTCCCATATGTACCCAATGTTTAGCTCCCACTTATATGTGAGGACATATGGTGTTTGATTTTCTGTTCCTGCATTAGTTCACTTAGGATAATGGCTTCTAGCTGCATCCATGTTGCTGCAAAGGACACAATCTCATTCTTTTTTATTAACTGTGTAGTATTCTATGATGTGTATGGTACCACATTTTCTTTATCCACCACTGATGGACATTTGATTCCGTTTTTGCTATTATGAATAGTGCTGTGATGAACATACATGTGCATGTGTCTTTATGGGAGAACAATTTATATTGCCTTGGGTATATACCCAATAATGGGATTGCTGGGCTGAATGATAGTTCTGTTTTAAGTTCTTTGAGATGTCACCAAATTGCTTTCCAGTGACTGAACTAATTTACTTTCCCACCAGCAATGTGTAAGCATTTCCTTTTCTCCACAAACTCGCCAGCATCTGGATATTTTTTGACTTTTTAGAATAGCCATTCTGACTAGTGTCAGATGGTATCTCATTGTGGTTTGCTCTTTGGGTCCATTCAATTCCCCTAAAAATCATTTACAATCCTTCAAGTTGTCTGCATTTCCCCCATCTCCCTCTATGTAAGTTTCAATCATTTGGCCTTTCTTTGAGTCTATTTTTGGAACTCCTGTGTTCATGGGCATGTTAATAAATTTGTATATGCCTTTTCTCTTGTTCATCTGTCTATTGCCAGTTCATTTCAGGGATGCTTCAGAGGGTAGACAGGAAACTTGTCCTTCACTCCTACAATAGTGTCACTATCCACTACTGGCTCAAGCTAAAAACCTAGGTGCCAACCTTGTGTCCCCCTTTCCTTCTCCATCATCACCAAATGCTACTCGCCCTCTAAATGAGGATGGTCTCCATTACCTTTGCCCCAGTGTAAGTTTTTTTTTGTTTTTTGAGATAGTCTCGTTCTGTCACCCAGGCTGGAGTACAATGGTGCGATCTCAGATCACTGCAATCTCTATCTGCCAAGTTCAAATGATTCACCTGCCTCAGCCTCCTGAGTAGCTGGAATTACAGGTGCCTGCCATCACACCCAGCTAATCTTTGTATTTTTAGTAGAGATGGGGTTTCACCATGTTGGCCAGGCTGGTCTCGAACTCCTGATCCCAAGTGATCCGCCCTCCTTGGCCTCCCAAAGGGCTGGGATTACAGGCATGACCCACCACACTCAGCCTAGTGTAAGTTTTAAGTCACAATTATCCTCTCTGCTCTTGGGCATCCATAGACCTCCCAAATGGCCTTCCTGATTCAAATCCATTGGCCATGGAATGATCTTTAAAAACCCAAGTCTGATCATGTCACTCTCCCACGTAAGATTCTTCATTGTCTTTCCTTTGCCCTTTGGCATAAACCAGTGGTCCCCAACCTTTTTGGCACCAGGGACAAGTTTTGTGGAAGTCAATTTTTCCATGGACGGGGCAGCGGGTTGGGGGTAGGGGTGGTTTCAGGATGATTCAAGTGCATTCCATTTATCGTGCACTTTATCTCTATTATGATTACATCGTAATACATAATGAAATAATTACACAACTTACCATAATGTAGAATCAGTGGGAGCCCTGAGCTTGTTTTCCTGCAACTAGACAGGCCCAACTGCGGGTGATGGGAGACAGTGACAGATTATCAGGCATTAGATTCCCATAAGGATCGTGTAACCTAGATCCCTTGCATGTACAGTTCACACGAGGGTTCATGCTCCTATGAGAATCTAATGCTGCTGCTGATCTGACAGGTGAAGCTCAGGCAGCAATGCTCACTCCCTGCTGCTCACCTCCTGCTGTACGGCCTGGTTCATAACAGGCCAAGGACCGGTACTGGTTGGGGACCCCTGGTGTAAACTCACTCCATGAGGTCCTGCATGATGAGGCCGAGCCATGCTGACATCATTCTTTTCCTTAAACACATTAAACTTCTTCCCATCTCTAGGCCTTTGGGATACTGTGCCCTCTGCCAGGCACACCCTCCCTGTGTGCTTGGCATGGTGACAACTCATGCTTTGGTTCAAACAGAAGAAATCTCTGATTGCTGTGGCATGCTTTAGCATGCTCTCCCAATTACTTATCACCCTTTTACTTCTCTTCAGTGCCCTTGGTCTTATATTTTGTTTATTTGTTGTAGCAAGGTAGACTACTAAGGACCCTAGTAAGAACCCTGAAGGCAGGGCCCATGGTCCCCTCTGTGGTTTACCTGCCCTTGGGTGATCCCCTCCTCATGAGAGTGGGTGGTGGTTCCTGGGACTCGTTTCTAACCAGTAGAACATGGATAAAGTGATCCAATGTTCATGATTGTGCATACATAATTACGTTCCCTAAGAATGTAATGTCTATCTTGCTGAGAGGCTCTCCCTTGATGGCTTTGAAGAAGCCGTTGGCCACGCTGAGCTGTCATGGGGAGAGGAATGTGCATCAACTGAGAGCTTAAGTCCTGTTGCCAGCTGGATGCTGCCAACAACCATGCGAGCTTGGAATGTGGTCCTTCCCCAGTTGGATGCCAAATGAGAACACAGCCCTGATGACACCGTGATCACAGGCTTACAAAAGATCTAGCCAAGCCATACCTGGAACCCTAACACATGAAGAATGTGAGATAAGAAATGCCTGTTCTTTTAAGCCAATAGTTGGTGGTAAACTGTTACATAGTAACAGATAACTAATATGCTTGCTTACTCACTCTTGCATTAGTAAGAAAACTTCAGGAGGGAGAACAGGGACCCTTGCATTCTTCATTATTAAAGCTGCAGAACTCAGCTGGGTAGACAGCATAGAGAGATAATATCAGACACTTGCATGAATAAAGGAAACATCCAATAAACAGTAAATGTTAACATTGATAGTTATATTAATAGTGGGCTGATCTGTTGCCTCCCCTGTTTCTTGAATGGAGACCATCCTAGCTCTGTCCCTTCTGCATATCCCATCCTCCTAGCCACTGTGACTGGTCTGGGGTCACTCACATGACCCAAGTCTGTCCAATCAGAGCCAAACCCAGAATATTTGTATATACTGTTGAGAAAAAGCAGTTTTCCTGCACAGGATGGAACTCCTAAGACCTCCACAAGGAGCGGGACTGCCTGCAAAAGCAGCTTACACTGAGGAAAGCTGTACTGAGAGATAAGAGGTGAGAGATGCCTAATGACACCACCTGAGCCCCTGGAATTGGCAGCACCTCAAGATCTACCCCTTGGCTTTTTGGTTGAGTGAAACTAATCCTTCTCCCCACCACCCCTCTTTTTAAAGTAACATGGAATTGGGTGTCTATCACGAGCAACTTAAAAAATCCCTATTACCCAGCACCAGTCATGAAATTGACAGAGGAATAGGCAGGTCTGATGTATGGAGCAAAAGGGAAAAAGAGTAAAGGAAAAAAGCCCACCCAAATAAATATTGAATGAAATGCCACAGCAAATAAACCACTCAATAATTCCACTAGGAAATCCCATAGGAAGTTTTATTTTTACTTTCTAGTCCTTTAGCATTGGCTTAGGTTGGGCACGGTGGCTCACGCCTGTAATCCCAGCACTTTGGGAGGCCAAGGTGGGTGGATCACCTGAGGTCAGGAGTTCGAGACCAGCCTGACCAACATGGTGAAACCCCATCTGTACTGGAAAAAAAAAAAACACACAAAAAACTAGCCGGGCACAGTGGCTGGTGCCACTTGGGAGGCTGAGGCAGGAGACTTGCTTGAACCTGGGAGTCGGAGGTTGCAGTGAGCCGAGACTGCACCATTGCACTGCACCCTGGGCAACAAGAGGGAAACTCCGTCTCAAAAAAAAAAAAAAAAACAAAAACAAAAAAAGAAAGAAATGACTTAACAGGACAAGCTCTTTAAAACAATACAAAAGTACCAAGTGCAAATATGTAAAAGATTAACAGCACTTAACAGTACTCAACAGTAACAGTGGAAACTACACCTTTACACTTTTTTGAAAATACTCTTGGCCACAACATTACATTTGGACTCTATTTTCCAACTTGGAGAGGCCAAATGTTGCTGTTCTTTCTGATAAAAAGCAAATACCATAGAAGGGCTTGTTCTGTTTTGGATTTTTTTTTTTTTTCCCATCTTGTTTCACATGAGTGAAAAAATTAACAGCTGCCCTCATTTCTGAAAACAAAAAACTATAAACAACCACTGTTGCTCCCAATGGGACCATTCGACATAAGCCCTGAGGCTTTGGGGTCAATGGGCTACAGTCTAGAAGCCCAGGACCCTGCCAAGGTCAAGTCTGCATATTTGGGGCAGGGTGAGCTGTTGAACCATCGCATTTCTCTGCTGCTTCTTTACATGGGAACCAACACAAGAACAACACAATCCCTAAATTGGCTGCTGCAGGATCCTACAAATAAGTGAAAAAGCGAGAGGACACAGCCAAGGAGTGCTTGCTACCCAGCCCCCTTCTTCTGAGCCATAATCCCAAGGGGTGAGTATGATCCAGCAGTACTTGAAAAGAAGCCCGGCCTCTGAGCAGCCACTCATTCCTGGTAAAGCCCCTCGAAGTCTGCAGACTTCATGGCTGGCAGAAAGTCACCATTGGTGTTTTGCTGTGTCAGTGGTCTGTCGGATAATAAGAAGAGATGGTTAGCTCTAGGTCCTCGGTAAAGAGAAACGTTGGAAGTGTGCATAGCTGAATACATGATGTTCTTTTTCCTGATTTATTTTTAGCTGCTTCTTGCAACCACACCAGGCCTATGCCCATTATACAGATGAAGAAACTGAGGACACAGGAAGTTAAAATGACCAGGTTAGGAGTAGGGTTATAGCCCCTTTTCCATCTTCTAATTTGGATATTTACTATGTTTTTCTTAATTATCTGTGTCCTCACAACAACCCAATGAGAATGGTAGATTAAGAGTAGCTATTTTGTCTAGTTAACCAATGGACAAAAACTGAAATCAGAGAAGTCAAGCAGCCTGTTCCAAGACCACACAGCTAAAAAACATGCCAGGGTGGGGATTCAGACCATATCTTCTGATTTCAATTAGTTTCTTGACACCTTCCATGGAAAGGAGTTTGGGGGGAGGATTGTATTAGTCAATTCTCACGTTGCTAATAAAGACCTGAGACTGGGTAATTTATAAAGAAAAAGAGGTTTCATGGACTCACAATTCCACATGGCTGGGGAGGCCTCACAATCATGGTGGAAGGCAAAGGAAGATCAGGGGCACTTCTTACATGGTGGCAGGCAAAACAGCATGTGCAAGGGACACGGCCTTTATAAAACCATCAGATTTCATGAGCCTTATTCACTATCACGAGAACGGCAACCATGGGAAAAACCCACCCCATGATTCAATTACCTCCCACCAGGTCCCTCCTATGACATGCAGGGATTACAGGAGCTACAGTTCAAGATGAAATTTGGGTGGGGACACAACCAAACCATATCGGGGGGAAAGGAAGAGAAACCAGTCTTCTTCAGTCCTTGTGACTGTCAGAAGGCTGTGAGAGAGGAAGTAGTGCTATTGATATTAACTTAATTGGATCCATGGTTTATCTTTGAATTTCAAAAAGCTTTGCCATCATTGACACCCCACTGTGGAAAACCACAGCACACACCAGAGCTTGGCCGACCAGGAGATATTTCCCAAACCCTTCTCCTTACAAGTTTATGCTACAGAAGATGACACAGCTGAACATTCCCAGCTTAGAGTGGGGATATGCTTTGGATGTTTGTCCCCTCCAAATCTCAAGTTGAAATGTGATCACCAGTGTTGGAGGTGGGGCTTGGTAGGGAGTATTTGGGTCTTGAGGGTGGATCCCTCATGAATAGCTTGGTGCCATCCTTGGGGAATTACTAAGTTCTTGCCCTGAGTTCATGCAAGGTCCGGTTGTTTAAAAGAGTGTGGCACCTCCTTCCTCTCTCTCTTGGTCCTGCTCTCGCCATGTGACACTGTCTCCCCTTCACCTTCCCCCATGATAGGAAGCCTCCCCGGCCCTCACCAGAAGCAAATGTCAGCACCATGTTTCCTGTATGGCCTGCAGAACCATAAGCCAAAATAAACCTCTTTTCCTTGTAAATTACCCAATCTCAGATATTTCTTTAGAGCAATGCAAAAACAGACTAACACAAGTGGCCATCTGACAAAGTTCTAGTCAATGAAGTCTTTTGAAAGCATAGTGATGAGAGGTCCTGAGAAATCTTTTACTCACATTGTAAAAAGGGTCAGACTCATTTTTTTTTCTCCTTTTATCCTGCCTTGAAGGTAGCTGGTGCACCTGGAGCTGCAGCAGCTATCTTGTGGCCATGAGGTAGGAAACCAATGGGCTAAGGATGGCAACACAGTAAGGCAAAAGGTGCCTGGTATGTTGATACCACACAGCAGCTGCACCAGTCCTGGGCTGTCTCCAGTTTTTCATTAAGCAATTAAAAAAAAGTTCCCTGTGTGTTTAAACTAGTATCTGCTTTGGTTTTTCTCATTATTTGCCACCTAAACCATTCCTCCTTCATAACAAAAAACTAAGAAGCCTTTCCTTTTCTTAGTAAAGATATAAGAAAGCTAGTTATGCTCAGGCTGGTTTGGAAGATTATGATATGGGGCAGTGAGTTTGGTGGCTCTACAAATAAACACAGCTGCCCAGAGCCCCTTCTTCTCCCGAGCTGCAGGCCCTGGGAGGTCTCGCTGTCTCCATAACAAAGCAGTGTGGTTTTGCCCCTCAGAGACTAGCTGATCTACACAGGAGGTAGGTCCGTGTATTTGATCTACATATTGTTTAGTTGATTTTCATATGTAAGGGAAACTTTTGTTTCCTTTTTCTTTTCTTTTTAAAAAATTTAAGCTGTATATTATCTTTCATGTTTTAGGGCCAAAATTCCATTAAATCATGAAATAAATTGTATAGCTCCTCTTCCCCCAACTCCATGCTTTCGATCATTTAATGAGGGAGTTATCTTTTTTTTAGTTATAAAGAATTCACTAATGCAGGCTGGGCGCAGTGGCTCACACCTATAATCCCAGCACCTTGGGAGGCTGAGGCGGGTGGATCACTTGAGCTCAGGAGTTCGAGACCAGCCTGACCAACATGGTGAAACCCCACCTCTACTAACAACACAAAAATTAGCCATGCATGGTGGTGCACACCTGTAATCCCAGCTACTTGGGAGGCTGAGGCAGAAGAATTGCTTGAACCCAGAAGGGAGAGGTTGCAGTGGGCCAAGATCAAGCCACTGCACTCCAGCCTGGGTGAGAGTGAGACTCGTCTCAAAAAAAAAAAAAAAGAATTCGCTAATGCAAGAGTTCTCAGATGAAAACCATGTTCACAATAACATGACCTAATTACATGCCTTTTTCACTCACATTCTCTCACAAAGGAACAGTGCAATTTTTCAAAGTATATTTGGAAGATCTGCATGATTCAATGAACCAATATTCTCCCAACGACCAAGGGGTAAAGTTACAAAATCATGCATGATAAAGATCAATTTGAAGTGTGAGATAGACCTGCAGATTTCGATAAAATAAGAGTATAAAAATTTCACATTTCATCTAACCTTTAAAAAACTACCACTTATGGAGTTTTGGTGTACTATCATAGAATATCCACAATCGTTTAAAAAAGCTTTGCCTCCCTTTTCCAACCACACATTGAGTGATGCTGAGTCTTCTTCAGATACTTCACACAGAACAACATAGTACAACAGAATGAATGCAGCCACACGAACGAGAAGCCAGCTGACAACTGTTAAGGCAGCTATGAAAGAGATTTGTAAAATGTAAAACCATACCACTCACAACTTTCATTTTCTTTTGGAAAATATAGTTACTTTTCATTAAAATTTGTTATTTATATCAACAGGTAATATTGCTCCTTTTAAATGAATAGATATTTTTAAAATTTATGTTATGATTTCTAATAGAATCATTATTTCAGAACAAGGAACACTGAGGAAGAAAATTTTTAAAAAAGAAATAATTATTAATACTTTTTTTTTTATTTTTCAGACACAGTCTAGCTCTGTCACCCAGGCTGGAGTGCAGTGGTACAATCATAGCTCACTGCACCCCCAACCTCCCAGGCTCAGGCCATCCTCCCTCCTCAACCTCTTGAGTAGCTGGGACCACAGGCATGCACCACTATGCCCAGCTAATATTTAATTTGATTTAATGTAATTTATGTTATGTTTAATTTATTTTATTTTATATAGTTTTATGTCATGTTATTTATTTATTTTATTTTATATTTCACCTCATTTCATTTGTTTTTTGAGATAGGGTCTTGCTCTGTTGCCCAGGCTGGAGTGCAGTGGTGTGATCACAGCTCACTGCAGCCTTGAACTCCTGGGCCCAAATGATCCTCCCATCTCAGCCTCCTGAGTAGCCAGGACTACAGGCATGCACCACCACACCTGGATAATTTTTGTATTTTTTTGTAGAGATGTGATCTTGCCATGTTGCCTAGGTTGGTCTTAAACTCCTGGCCTCAAGTGATCTTCCTCCTTGGCCTCCCAAAGTGCTATTAATACAATTAACTACATAAATAAAATCTCTTTGGAGGCCTCAATAATTTTTAAGAAGGTAAAATGTGACCTGAGAACAAAAAGCTTAAGAACCTCTGCCCACATGGAAACAATTGGTTGGCAGCAATAGGGGAGGATAAGGAGATCAAGTACAAATCCTGGATTTCTTTTTCAATTTTTTCATTGATAAGTAGGGAGTCAGATTTTGCTACCTCCTATGGCATAATTTTTAAGAACTTACCCTATTACAGCAGGGTTCACAGGCAGGGAGGAATTTTATTTCAGAAACATCACCCTCAATATGCAAAATAGGCCAATATTTCTCCTTTCACGTCTTTTAAAACTGGGAGTGAGTCAGTGCCTCACGCCTGTAATCCCAATCTATTGAGAGGCCAGCGGGGAAGGATTGCTTGAAGCCAGGGGTTTGAGGACAGCCTGGGCAACATAGCAAGACCCCATTTTATAAGTAAAATACAAATGAACAAACAAAAGACTAAGAGCGATCAAAGCGTTTATGAAAAGGTGAACATGACTCCAGGGATATCAATTAAGCAATCCTATGAGAGCCATCCTTGAGCAATTTTACATTACACCCACTTCACCCTTTATTTTTCAACATAGGAATAATAACAGGATAACCTTTTGGTAAGGAGTTCAAGGGCTGTTTTGTAGAAAAACAAAACTCAGGATATCGGTTCTTATGGAACAATGGTTGGCCAAATCCAGCAAGCTGCCTGTCTTTGTAAATAAACTTTTATTGGAACACAGCCATGCCCATTCATTTACTTCCTGGTCTGCGCTGCCTTCATGCTACAGCAACAGAATTGACTAACTGCAATAGAGACCATATTACTTACTAAATACTTGCTATCTGGCCCTTTCCAGAAATTGCCAACTCCTGTTTTAGACAGTCACTCTGTATCTTGATTAAGAGGGCTTTGGAATTAACTGACCTGGATTTAAGTCCCTTCTGTGCTACTCTCAGCTTAAGGGACTTGGCTTAATTTTCCTTATAATAGAAAGGGGCTAAATTGTAAGGATGACATAAGATAAGGCCTGGAAAGTGTTTAAGAGAGTCCCTGGCACAGAGCAAGTGCTCACTAGCACTATCATCAACGTAGCAGGAGCTTAAATGAAGTATGATGAACTTGGGACTTAGATTCTAAAATCAACATACAGGACAAAAAGAAAACATTAAAATAAATCTCCTTTGAAAACCCCTTAGGTGGGTGGCACATTATAGACAAACACAGAGTCTCCCAGTAAGGCCAACATAGCTGGTGTTTCCTTCCAGCATTTAAGTAGATTGCTGTTGTTTCACTTGAGGCCCCAGATGAAGTAGCTGGCATTGAAGAGCCATATTGTAGGAACAAAAATCTATATATTCAAACATGAGGCTCACACTCAGTTGGTGAGAAACTCACATTCGCAAGAGCAGAGGGGATCGACAGACTTTGGGGACAGAAGATTCACAGCTCCCATACTGTACCGCTTTGGGCGACAGACGTGTCTGGTGGGTCATTTTTCTCCTGTGCCTCTCCGCCCCACCCCGCCAAAGAAAACCACCTAATTTGACATTTGTAAATGAAATGAACATCTTTTAAAAGGAATCAATAATACTGATAGAGTTGCTATGACAATGAAATGTGTATACCTGATGGAAAATGACAGCTATTGCTTTGTTTAAAATTCCATGGTAAATTCCCACCTGATGCCTGGCATATGGGGAACTACGAGAAACACCTGGGTCTTACAAGTTTCCTTCTGGACATCAACTAGGATTACGGTTTTATTTGTGAAAATCCCCTCAAGTAGCAGATTAAATTACTCAGCAGAGTGTGGTGGCTCACGCCTGTGGTCCCTGCACTTTGGGAGGCGGAGGCAGGAGGATTGCTTGAGCCCAGGAGTTAGAAAACAGCCTGGGCAACATAGCAAGACCCTGTCTCTACAAAAAATATTAAAATTAGCCGGGCATGATGGCATGCACCTGTAGCCCCAGCTACTTGGGAGGCTGAGGCAGAAGAACTGCTTGAGCCTGGGAGGTTGAGGCTGCAGTGAGCTATGTTCATGCCACTGCACTCCAGCCTGAGTGACAGAGTGAAGCCTTGTCTCAAAAAAAAAAAAAAAGAAAAAGTAGAAAGATTAAAAAAATAAATTATTCCATGGGCATGTATTTACCTGGGAGAAAACCAGTAGTTGATGAGGCTGGAGACCACTACATAGGATGCTATCATCATCCCCGACATGATGAGTGACACGAAGCCCAAACCACAGAGGATGCAGAGCAGTGATAGGCCACCCACAGCGATGACCAATCCTAGGAGGAGAACGTGATTAGGAGAAGTGTTCATCTCAAACAGGTTGAAAACTGCAGACCCCGGGGTCAGTGTGTTTAAAATAATGTCAGCTAACTCAGATTATTAAAGTAAGGAGATTTCCCACAAAAACCCAGATTTTTGGCATCACTTAAAAAAAGGAGGTGATATGGGCACCTGAGTGGGCATCAAACCATGGCAGCAACTGGCTGGCCCTCCCATTGCCTCCAGTCCCCACAGTTCCCAAACTGCATTGCACATGGGCCGCTTTGCTCATTTTGTCTTTTTTTTATTTTCTTTTTTGAGATGGAGTCTTGCTCTGCCTCCCAGGCTGGAGTGCAGTGGCACGATTTCAGCTCACTGCAACCTCTGCCTGCCAGGTTCAAGCGATTCCTGGCTTCAGCCTCCTGATGAGCTGGGATTACAGGCGCCCACCACCATGCCCAGCTAATTTTTGTATTTTTAGAGGAGATGGGGTTTCACTATGTTGGCCAGGCTGGTCTCGAACTCCTGACCTCAAGTGATCCACCCGCTTCCCAAAGTGCTGGGATTACAGGTGTGAGCCACCGCAACCAGCCTGCTCATTTTGTCTTGCCCGTAGGTGTTGGAGTTTGAGATCCCTTTATCCTCAAGGTCAAAGATGGACTTCCAAAGGGATCCCCCTGAGGAGTCAGCCAAGGCAGTACTGGGGGAGGTAAATTATCTCCAGTGTCTCAAACTGCATAATAAATGCCATTATTTACACTTACTTACAAGCTATAGGTATAAAGGTCATGCAGACTAAAGCAAAATCTAAATGCAGTTTTTGATGGCATCCTTGAAAATCCAGCCTGTCAACTATCACATTTTAATCTTAAGGTCTGATTGGTCATTTTTATGGAGCATTTTCAATGCCATTTTAATATACCATTCCCATTCTGAATGGGAATAGTAATGAATTATCATCTAATACGTCCAAGGAAAATACATTTTTTCATAATGTGGGGCCTGTGGGAGGAAAAGAATAAAAGGTACAAGGAGAAGATCATGAAGAACAAATAACATGGCAAGTATCGTACGGCTGACATCCTTCCCTTTGCTTTGCGAGTGGCCAGTTAGCCCAGTACTCCTTCCACAGCCACAATGATGGTTTCAGGGAGGGACCCTGAAAAGGCTGGAAGGAAGGGAACATCAACAGATGTGCTGCCTTTTCATAAAGATTTGCAAAATTTTAGATCAGTGTTTTTCAAAGTGTGGCGCCAACCACCTGCATCAGAATCAGGTGCATCAAGGAAGCTTGTGAAAAATTCAGATTTCTAAACCCCACTCCAGACCTACTAAAATAGCACTCTCTGGATGAGGCCTGGAAGTCTGCATTTTCTTTCTCTTTTTTCTTTTTTTTAAAGAGACAGAGTCTTGCTCTGTTGCCCAGGCTGGAGTGCAGTGGTACGATCATAGCTCACTATAGCCTCAACTGCCTGGGCTCAAGTGATCCTCTCACCTCAGCCTCCTGAGTAGCTGGGACTACAGACACACACCACTTCTTTCTTTCTTTCCTTTCTTTCCTTTTTCCTTTCTTTCCTTTCTTCTTTTCTTTTTTCCTTCCCTCCCTCCCTCCCTCCCTC